CTAGGTCATTGTGTACAGTATGTTCTTGTAGGAATTGTTATCCAACATTGATACTTGGTGCTTTCTCTTCACTACAGCTATCAGTAGTAAGCAGATTGGTAAATGCTTACTGCAGTCCGTTCCACAAATGGTTCCTCATTGCAGGGGCACGGCTTCAAAGGCTATGGTTCCACAGCAATTTCCAAGGCATTCCCCTAACCCCAACGTGCCAACGCACATGCAGCTACGCACTTAGCTAAGGCGCCAACGCTCAAGCAGCTATGCTCTTAGCAAACCCGCAGTCTCTCCTATATAAGCTCCACTAAGGCCACCTAGCACCTTTGCTTCAACGTTCCACCTACCTCACCACCGCAAGCATCCTCTACCTCCCTCGCTGCCATCTCCTTCCTCACCTTCCTGTCCTCATTCATAAGTATATATATACATGCAGTAAAGCACAATCACCGCAAGAATGCATCCAAATTGGACGGGGGAAGTGTGAGAGAGAGAGAGAGAAGGAAAGGGGACAAAGGAACCATGATGTGCCGGCATCGTTTTGGTCGGTGATATTTTTCTGCTTACTACTGTGGTCTCCACATACCCCTCTATATATAAACCTAGGGAAAATGCTCAAATATACCCCCCGGAGGACAGTAGTAAGCAGAAAAATCCCTGCCTACTGGCCGTCCGTGACTATAGTTACATCAGAAGTCTCAACAAAAAAGAAGCTTGATGGCATCTGTGCTTGTTCTTGGGGAAAGTTCAAAAGATGGCTGAGCAAATGCATCAGGAGAACAAATCAAGATTGGTTTAAGTGCCTGGCAATCTACAAAGCTTCAATGCCTATTCATGGAAGTACCAGACATACCAGACAAACTATGGAGGCAGAATCATTGCCACAAAGAGAAGAGCAGAAGAATTGCCAGCAGCACAGGCAGATATTTGTCGAAAGCATGTGATGCTGAAATTCAAAGATGAAGATGCAGAAGCAGTTATGGCAAAAGCTCTTGGGGAGGAAGTGGCTCAGAGAAAGAAGAGGCACTACGGTTCCAGCCCCGCAGGAAATTCTGGGAGAAGCAATGAGGAGAGATGGGGGTGACATGAAGCCAAGTGGAGAGGAGACTCCAAGTAAGAAAAACCGAAAGTTCCCTTTGCAGGGTGAAAAGACACTTGACAAGGCGAAGGCATTCCCATCTACATCATTGCCAGCAGGGCAACCCAAGCCAGTTACTCCTATACTATCTTCACTGAGATCACCACCAGCGCCTTCGAGACCAAGGGAAGCCTTTGAAGTGCTTGAAGAACAAAGTCCTATGAAGAAACTCATGCCATCAGAAGATTCAAGCAAGAAGGCAATGGTAGCAGGAAAAGATCTCTATCATGTAGATGAATAGCCATCCCCAGTTGCAGAAGAAGTTGATGAAGAAGACTGGGAAGAAGGAGGAGATGAGGAAGGAGAAGCAGAAGATGAATTGAATGGACCTGAAAGCTTGTGGCGTGATGGAGAACATGAACCAGAAGAAGATAGAATGGATGAATCGAGTAGCTGATGAAGTTGAAGAGAAAGATTTCAGAAGATGCAGGTGCTAGAGAAACCAGAACCTAGCACAGAAGATATCAGCCTCCTGACTACACGCAATTTGTATGACTGGAGAAAGAAGCCTTATCACCGTGGAGATGGAACAACAGAGAAGATCAAGACTAGTTGCAAGAGAATATGCTTTCGCTGAAGGAAAGAGAGATGCAATTTTCTCACCAGCGACTTCAGGCCATGTGCTGAAGCTTCTACCCACAATATTCTTGCAGAGAGTCAGTGAGGAGGAAGAAGCAAGAGAAGGAGAAGGAGCATTTTCCCAAATACTAGGTTGTCTTGATGTGAAAGACGCATTCTTGCAAGTTCCACAGGATAAATACCTTTGAAAGTCAATCTGAGAGGAGAAGAATTCTTGGTGAAGAGAAATGTACCTGGACAGAGAGTTGGAGCAAAAGCATCGTTTGACTTTTTCACAGGGCACCTCACCGAGGAACTCCATTGCAATTCAGTGCTGAGTGTCCATGCCTAGGACGAAATGAGAAGAGTATCATTTTGATTCATGTGCATGACTTGATTTTCACAGGCTGTTCAAAGTACATCAATGAAATCTTTCTTCCAAAGATTCAAGACAGATTTGACACCAGCGTGCCCCAGATTGAGAGGATTGGTGACCAGTGATGAATTCAACTTCCTGAGGAGAAAGTACAATCTAGAGAAAGATGGACTATGGACCTGGATCCAACCAGGTAACTACATCCAACAGATGCTGAAGGCATATGGAGAGCAAACTTCAACAACTACCATCAGACAATTCAATTCAGATGGAAGAGAAGTCAGAGATCTTGACAGATCAAAAAAATCAGCCTATTCAGAAAGCATTGAGAGGTACCACGTGGCATTCACTGTTAAGGAATTGGGTTCAAGAATGTCAAATCCAACAACTATGTCCTTTCATCACTTGACGAAATGTCCAGGATATTTGAAAAAGACGATGGACTATTGTCTAGTAGTTGAACTTCCACAGGCAGGAGAAGGCTATGTGAAGAAAGGGGAACACTATTGGCGCTCAGGGACATGTTGAGATTCAGATTGGGGCGGAAACAAAAGCCATGGAAAGTCAACATCAGGAGGATTCCATGCATTGAACAGTTGTCCATTGTTCAAAAGCCGCAGGACACAGAAGATCATTAGCTTAGCTTCATTTGGGGCAGAGTTGCATGCAATAGTTTCCTCAGCATCAGTTTCTTGAGTTTGCGTTTGGGACAGCGGACATTACATCTTCACAGATTCTTCAAGCGCGCGTCAACTTGTGAAGAAAAGGAGTTGGAAAAGTAAGACATTTAGATGGAAAGTTGCCGTGGATTCAGAACAGAAAGACTTCAATAGGGCACAGGTACCAACAGACAGCAACATGGCAAGCAACATTGCCAAACCACTTGGAGGCCAGAGAATCAGATTCTGGATGAACGACGTTTTCGGCTATTGGCACAATGAATGGCAAACAAGAGTTGGTGAGCTTGAGGGAAAGGCGTATGAAGAGAAAAAGAACTTTGCAGGAAAGGTCAACAAGATTGCCAAGATGATTGTCAGAATCGTGACTTCTAAGGGCTTGCAGCCAATGGTTACAGAAGCAAGTACATTCATTAGAGAGATTGACCAATGCAAATTGGAAGTGGAAGACTCCAATAGAAGTTGGAGAATCACAATCATCATTGTTTTTGCAGCAATGACCCTTGCAATGTGGAGACTACGGAGATACTTTGACTGGATTGATTCTCAATGGAGGCATTGTAGAAGAGCTAGAAACAGGTTCTATGTCCAGAACCAGCTATGAGATGATTGCAGAGACAAACGCAGGAAACAGCTTAGCCAGAAGGAGCTTGGAAGACATGAGATCAACAAGAGGACAGTATCATGGAAATGCCGTGATGCTGGAACAGCCACCAAGGAGCAGTTCCTACAGATGGACCAGGATCAAAACGGTTCAAGCCAGGACATGCAGAATATGTGAAGAAGGAGGAATATGAAGATGAACAAACGAATCAGCTGTGTGGTCGACCTCAGAGGAAGATCGAAAGTTTGAACCAAAGACACTGGGCACTAGAAGGAAGACGACGAACTCGCACACAAGATCGACTATGAGAGAGTTCGATATCAAATGATGCTAGATGAGATAGAAACGAGAGGAGGCAACCCAGAAGACACAGCAATGGATACCTCAAGGAACCACGTTCCTTAGAGAAAATGGAGTAGAAAAACCCTATGACAGCGGCAGAGTGAGTTAAAAGAGCAAATGACCGCTCACACTACCGAGAAGGAGTGTGAAGAATTTGTAACATAGCTCACCGGTGTGTGAATGTACAGTTTCATGTTATGGTCTCACTGGCCCGCAGCCCTTTGATTGTCCAGAAAAGGTTCAAAGAAAGGGATTCTTTCATCTGCACGCTGGGCCGGGTTTTGAAGGAGCCCATCTTGATGTTCTACCTGGTTCCCACTGGACTTTTTGTTGACAACTGAGTGTAATCACACAGAACTGTCCGCTCCGCTCGGAAAGTGTTGATCACATAGATCTGCCGGTGCGGGGTGTCCGAATCCATCGACTCGAGGGGAGGTCCGGTTTGGTGATTCCAGCTAGGTCGGCAGCTGCTAGGTGTAGGCAAGTGCCAATCAAGCAAAATTGGTGCGGGCATAGTTCAACGCACATGGCACACCTCCATGGTAGCTGCTCCTGGCTCTGACCCTGCAGCATGCTTGTTATTTATATCAATAATATATGGGTGCACTTGTAATTTGGGAATTGTTCATTTTGTTCGGACTTTTGTTCAAAAACATTGGAATAGAGCAGGTTTCTTCTTAGTACCTAGCTAATTACGGCAATTTCGTGTCCTTAGCAGAGACACAGGTGTCGTAGCTGGCCAAATACATTGGAATAGTGCAGGTTTCATATTAATTGCTAGCTGATTAGACTAATTTGGGAGCTGTCGTAGCTGGCAAAATGCAATCGAATAGCGTAGGTGTCAGAAAAATTCCTGTTAGCAGAGAAACAGTAGAGAGAAAGAGAACCGGCACAGGAGGCATATATGATTGGTTAGAAGTTTACGCCCGGGGAGTTCACCTAAAAATATTGATTTCGTGGCAGGCGCGGGTGTCGGAGATGAAGTGCAGATTCGTGGCGCAGGGGGGTTGGGGGGGCAGCGCCCCCCCCCAAGCAGCACATCAGATCCAAAGGTTAGAAAGCAACAAAAGCAAAAAAGCTGCAGAAGCAGAAAAGCAACAAAAGCAGAAAAGCAGCAAAAGCAGAATCCAAAAAACAACAAAAAAAAATGAAACAAAAATAACGCCGCTCCATAATATATACATGATACATGTATGATATATTGTATATGAGTGTGCATTCGCACTGGTAAAGGTGTACACTATATATTATGGAGGGTTTCATGGAGGGCGGTTCAACAACTCTCCCCCGATGATTTGCTGCACAGGTGGCGCGCTGGCTTCGCCAAAAAACTTGTCCCAAAGCTCCTTGGCATCCATTTGAAGCGTTGCTGCGCCGAACACCCCAAGCGACGGGCCGTCAGCACGCGCCCCAGCCACCAGCCCCACTAGCCCCACCAGCCCTAGCAGCCCCACCAGCCCCAGCAGCCCCAGCCTCGAAGTCCAGGCCATCCTCCGTCAAGAAGAGGAAGGCCACCTGCTTCGTGTTGCCTGGCCATGCGGCCGGCACCAAGGGCACCGTGGTCCCTCGCACCACTGCTGTGTCAACCTGCATCTTCTCGGCGATGTAGAGGCGCCTGCGGCAGTCGCTTGTTGGTGCCTCACTCCCTGTGCAGGCCTCGCCCTCGGAGCATGGAGCGCCTGTTTTGCATGACAATGGTCTTTAGCCGAGGTGGAGGGCTTTGGAAGGAATACAAACACCGGTTGGGGAAGTTGGGAGAACGGCTCTGCCTTGGAAGGCAAACATTTTCAGAATTTGGTTGCGCAGTTCACGCGATGACAACTGTAACTGTAGCACGCGCTGCAAACAGACTGCCTCTTCTCTCCGCTTGGTTTCTTTCGGCTGTGTCGCTTCTCCTGCTCCAGAAGCATGACCCAATCTGACCTCATGTGACCTGACTTCCTCGGCTATCCAAAAGAACCTTGACCTGAGAAAGCCGGTCAGAGCGCCACACAGGCCCGTATGGTAATTCCAACTGGCACCACCCAGGCGCCGAGCCCTCTCCAAAAAAATGAAGCGGGCCTTTTCTTAAGCAAGCCAAGGCCTTCAGTAACTCTTGATTTGTGCGCATCATCATGGTATGCCATGTGAATGGACTCTATTCACTCCATTTCACATTGGCACATCTGTAAAAATAAATTGAAGGGCAACTTGGCCCACACCCCCCTCGTCACCCCCTTGTCAGCCCCATTGTCCTCCTCCTGGTACTTTTTTCGGAACATCCTGGCCAGCGGCCCAGTCCCATTCATGCCTTGGGATTGGAAGATTCGAGCATGGGTACAATGAGGAGGGCTGGTGGGACATGAAAATTCAGCAGCCAATGACGTGCTTTCAACAAACATTGACATACTTAGCCCTGACTTCAAAGATCGTTCGAAGAAAGGGCGGGCCTGGCATTGTAGTTTAAATCAGGACAACACTGTTTCTTAGGTAAGCCCCCTTATATTGAGCAATGGCCAATGGCTGCTGGAATCCGAAGGCAGTGCTGAATGATGGATCCGTCAAACACTCTCAAGTTAGAAAAGTGATGCCACGAATGAGCAACACCACTCACAAAAACACTATCCCTCTAGCCTCTTACTCTTCCGCCGAAGGGCTGCCGTTGCGGTCATCGTCACATGTATCGTTCTCGTCAGCGGCCGGGTCTTGAGAGGCCTCAGCCTCCAAGTGTTCCAGTTGCCGGTGCAAATTCTCCAGTCCTCTGGGCCGTTTCCTGGGCATGGGACGGGGGGTGGGGCGTTCTTCATGAGCTCCACCTGGGCACCTAGGACATGTGTAGAATGCTTCACGAATGTCATGGTCAAAAAGTTCTATAGGAGAACAGCCCCACGAGATGTTTTTTCCTGCCCTGCCGGCCTTCGGTTGGACGGCGGGTCGGCTTCGCCGTTGGCGTGCAAAGCTGCCAAGGCAGCTCGCACCTTCTCCTGCCGCAGCCGGACGGCCCAATTGGCGCCGCGCGCCGAAAAACCGTGCTCGCTAATGCCACGTGACTGTGCCAACAGACTGGTTACAAAGGATAAGTATTGACTTTGCACCATCTGACCACCCGAAACACGCTTAATGGAAAACCACTGCACAAAACTGCGAGGGCCTCATCCTCCTGGCTGCCACCACCACAGCACAAAACTGCGAGAGCCAGCTGGAGGAGAAACATGCCTGAAAAATCCATTCGAGCAAGAACAATTCTTGGATCAGACTGCGTTGTGCCTCATGTCGGAAGTGTTCAAGGTTGTCCGTCCCCCTTCCCTACACAATGTTGGTGGTTCTCTTATCCTTTGGCATTGGCAACTTGCATACACGCTCGCTAGATTCGGAAAAATAAGGGTTCGACAGCAGCTCTTTCAACAAACCTAGCCAAGATACCACCATGGCAACGCAAACCCGAACCCATCTGTCATTGAAGTGCCCGATTGTTTCTCAATATTGGGCACCCGGCCACACATGCATGACAATTGTGCTAGTGACTACTGGTGTCTATGTTCCTGATGTCCTGATGCCTTCTCTGTGTCGCACACTGGGTGTGGAAGGTGGAGTGCAAGCATCTACCCGCCCAATGACCATGGCCGCTGCGAGCCAGAAAGCCGACAGATCCCTATATCAACCATGTCGCGCACGCTGCACAGTGGAGTGGGAACTTGGAGTTGAAGAAACTAAAGAAAGGTAAGGTAAGGTATGGCCACCCTGCACGCACATTGGCGGCCTGATGAGGGGGATGTGAAATATTATATATATATATATACACAATGAGAAACAAGCGAACTATGATGCACAAAAACTCACTGTCGTTCAAGCCATCTGTTGGTGCTCCGGGCTGCCACCCTCCATTCTCCCAAGCCTCGGTAGCGACGTACATGGCAAGCTTTTCACCCCACTTGAATCGGGGGCGGCCAGACCTCCTTCATCCCTCAGGATTCCAAGATAATGTTCGGACCACCCACCATTCTGCCGACAAATTCGCAGTGTAGGATGCAAAGCGCCAGCATTTTTTGCACCATGAACGGGCCCAAAAATCAACATGTGCTTGTCGACCACTTCGCCTACGCGCGCGTTCTAAAAGTGCAATATCCCGTGCCAGGGTGCAGACCTTCCGGAACTCAACAACAAAAAGTAACGTTTGCAGTTTTTGCTCATGGATGGTTCGGCGCGCACATAACAAATTAACAACCGACAAAAATGTTTAAACCACGATTCCTCATTGATACTGCCCGGCATTGAAGAATCCAGCGATTGGCGCAAAAGGCTACCGAGCCTTGCTGCATATGATATTGTGCATCGAAAACATGGTTCGTAAAGCTTTTCGCAACCAAAACACGACCCAACCACTTATGGACTTGATTGGGCTCCAAAATTTTGAAATTATACTTATTGGAAACAATACCGACAGTGGTGAGGTTTCAGTTGTGATGGCCACTGTTTTGTCATCATTTCAAGTTCAATCCGACCCCTGCAAGAAACCAAACAAACGAATCTCCAATCATCATCCCTACCAATTAAGGGGGAAACCTCTAAAATTGCAAGTTGCAGTTTTGGGGGGGGCTCGAGCGAGGGATCCAAAATGTAAGCTTACATGTTCGAAAGAGGGCCTCAAAAATCTAAGGTTGCATGTTTTAAAAAACGGCGTCACAAATGTAAGCTTACATGTTGGAGGTCCTCACAGACTGTCAGCATACTTCAAAAACATTCAAGAAAGTGAAGGTGGGTGTTCTTGGGTGGTGATATGTGATGGTTGTTACAAAAATGAATGGAAACCGCCTAAAGGGCGCCATAGAACACATTCCTCATGGTGATTGGAGAACCTCAATTCTGCCAGCTTACATTTACGTTGCTTCCGTGCCAGCACTGCTTAATTTTTTGGGGTGGTGAACAATTGGTGATATGTGGTGGTTGTACAATTGAATGACTACAACTGACAAAAACCAACTGCTTGAAAAAACGTAATGGGGGTCGAAACATGTAAGTTATAGGGAATCACACTTTGATGGCATCCCGCCTCTGATCCAAAATGATGGAAATGGGATACCACTAAGGCCTTACCGGAGACCTATGTTTTGAGCGTGGATGCCATCAATATGTGCTGCGTTCTGACTCTGCAGTTTGAGGATTCCGTCGCCCACATGTGACCAACTCCTTTTCCCGATTACTGAGTTGTTCCTGAACCAGTCAAACTCAGGACATTTTTCCAACCAAATTAAAACAAAATAACAACATCAACATGCAGTACATGGGAACCACACTTTGATGGCACACCACGATCAAAGCCGGAGATCTGGCAACACAACCAAGCCCAGATGCCACCAACCTCTCTGCACACATGTTTGCATGTAACTCCAGCCAGCGGCTGAAGCCTCTCGAAGGACGTTTTTTTTTCCATCATCTCACTAGATGCAATCTATTTGTTCCAGGATCTAGCCTCAAGTGGCGTCTCCCAAGTAGAGATCACAAATTGATTGCATATCAAAGGTGTTTCGTGAGCGCCATCAAAGTGTGATTCCCTATACCACGTTCCAGGCGTTCTGCTACATTAAACCACCCCCACCCCACCCCTCAAAAGTCACCATCCGCACACTGACGCGGACTGAGGATGGTCAGGGGATCCCAGCGATTATAATCTCACGATGGACCTGGTTGTTTTGTTTTGGGAGGTAACATACATTATCTGACCCCCTGAAAACCACGTAGCGGGTGGTAACTTACATTTATACATCCTGCGAAAATGTAACTTGCATTTTTTTACGTCTCCCCCCCATTTTCCTAGGCTAAGGGGGTGAGGACGAATCATCTGTCTGAAATGCACTTCATGCATTCAGTCAGGCCGTTCGATCCTCAGACACGCTCGCTCGCCTCAAGCAAGGTGGGTGGGTTCACCGTTCGGCCGTGGTTGGGAAAAGCGACTTCCGTTCGTCGAGTCGGAACCTCGTGCGTCCGCACTTCTTGCTACCATAGCATTTGCATGGTAGCGGAGCTCTGACCTAACCGGGTCATCTCCAGGCACCTTTTTCACTACAACCTCTCAACACACACCACCACAGCAACAGCACTACACCTCACCACAAACCGCAACAAACTGCTCCATCGGGTCGACAGACCCTGGCACCATTGGGTCGACAGACCCAGGACAACATGTCCACCGCTCAGGCATCCACAAGCCTACAAGCCTGGATACAAACAGCTTGAGGGATAACTTCATTCCCCAGTTCGATGGCCAACCCCAACCATACGTTGAATGGAGAAAGCGCATCAACATCTACTACCTCAAGATGAAGCTCCAGAAACGAACTGGAGAATGCTGCCTCAACCTGATTGGAAGTTTGCAAGGAGCAGCTTGGAAAGTGGTGGAGGACTTCGACTTGAAGAACGTCGAGAAAGAAACCGCCTTTGACACCATCCTTGAGCTCCTGGATAATTAAGGCGTTCGCCTATGACAACAGGGCGCAGGTGCCTCAAGACTTCGAGAACTTTTTCACTCATGGAGTCAGGAAGCCAGGCACTACCATGTTGCAGTTCTGCACCGAGTTCGATGAGTTCCGCAGCCTGCAGGCTCACGGCGTCAAGCT